GCATCCTCCTTGTCATCCTCCCAGACATCTTCATTCTCAACATCCACTGCATCATCATTCTCAACCTCCACTACACCCTCCACTACGTCCCCAATTCCTTCATCACCACCCTCAACATGTGCTTCTCCTCTAACGCCACTACTCTCACCATTGCAGGACCTTCACATAGGTACAAAATCTTATTCTCTATCATTTTCTACAATAGCTGGTTCGTCCACCCCATACACAACATAGAGGTTCACTTTTCCCAAATAATTAGCCACCTTCATCATGTTCATAGCTCCTTTATTATCATCAAGCTTATGTAAAACATCTTGGGTATTGTAATATAATTCTTTTACTTCCATTTAACCTAGACCTTTAAGTGAACCTAATACTCCAAAATAACACCATTTATCGGGATCTACGTCCCTATAAACTATTTCCCCGCCCATATACTTAAAGGGGACTTCTTTGATCAAGGTCCCACCGTGATGGACCATAACCTGAAACATGTCATCACACATCCCTACCCGAACCCTGCAAATGCAAACAGGGACACTAATTTAAGTTAAACTAATATATATGAGACCACTATCAACCATCAAAAGAAGACAACTTTTCACCCCTACTTAAACCCCCTATAATAAAGCGACAACAGTGATAACATATACAACAACTACATTTCATAAAATTATCAAACATAAACTCTAACCTGATTTGCGGTTTCCAATTCGCTATGCAGATTTCAGCTTCAACAACACCCTTATTTCAAGACACTTCCTCCACAATGATAAATCCCAAATCGTAATTTCTTTGCAATCCAAACCCTAACCTCTGATTTATTAACCACAATAATATACACACGTTTACCCTCACACAACCACGTATTAACCTCACACAGCCACATATTAACCTTCCCCAAACACGTTGCAATCTTCAGTACACCCTGTTAGCTGGCCCGTTAAAAAATGAATGTCATTACGAAAAAAGATTTAATTGCACACTTTTTTCACAAGTTGGGACTACATTGAACTTTTTAAAAAACGTAGGATGCAATTGAACATTTGTCCCTTTTCGAGGGACCAAAAGAGGTATTAAACCATAATTTAATTAAGTTGATTTAATTAAAACAAGGTAAGTTGGTGAGCCAACCCGATCCACCACGGGTTCAATCCGTGTGAGTTGGGTCAAAATTGACTTTTATCAAAATTTTTATATTTTTTTCAATCCAATCCAACTCAAACCAACGTGAATCGGATTGGTTCACGGGTTTCAACCCATTTTGATGACACTGAAAAATACCAAAATGATTGAGAATGTTTAAGGTTTAATTTTCAAAACTATTTTATTATAGATTTCAACTGAAAAATAATTTATATTAGATGATCATCAAATATATAAAAAGTATTCGACGACAGGTGTCAAAACAGAAGGTTTTTTTCTAAGAAAAACCCTTAAGCATTAACATAAACCAAGTAGAGTATTGCGAGGAGAGGGAACAATGGAAGGAGTAAAAGGAGGCTATCCAAAATCATCGGCATCACCAATTTCATCTTTTAGCAGTACATTTTTCACTCACGCAAAGAAAAAGTTATATTAAATTGATAAACATGTCCACAAATAAAAAATACTTTCTTTAACTATTCAAATAAAAGTTTACAAGTATCTGAACTCATCTTATAAATCGTGTATTATATCAAGTTTTTGTCAATGAGTGGCATTGCAGTCAGCAGATTTTCATGGTCCATCATAATTACTCCTACTTTTCCATCTGCTGCTATTTTCTTGCCAAAATTATTGGGAAAATGCTTCACTGTATTCTCTATTTTAAAATTGTTTTTGGAAGATCAAATGCTTTTCTATGATAGGAAAATTGAAATCTTGAAAAAGATGCGTACTTATGATACATTTGGAAGACCAATAGCAATGTTTAATAAAAAAAGAATTTATTTTGATTGAATAATGATATACATAATATGTTTGAATGCAGAAAATGGGAAATACAACCCAAACTTTTTCCTTTTACTTCCCACCCCAACGCTTAGGTTATCATTGCACATCAATTCCAACGCAAAAATAAATCTTCTCAAAGGATTTGATACGTTGGGTGGTGAGTCGTTCCTATAAGAAGCTGATGCAGCTAACTTCCTTCTCACTCTGAAGCATGGCTGATTTGATAAGTAGTCTCCCAGACGAAATCATTTGTATTATTCTTTCATTTCTCCCATCCCGACAAGTTGTTGCAACCAGTGTTCTCTCCAAGCGCTGGAATCTTCTGTGGCATTCAGTTCCCTCTCTGGATTTCGACACCGATAACGAAGATTTTTGGTCTCTCAGCGAAAAGACTTACAATATGTTTTATAGCTCGGTGTGCTCTTTGTTGGTTCGTCGCGGAGACCAGCCCCTACATAGATTTCGCCTCAGGTCTAACTTTTCTTGTGATGATTCTGAACGATTCAACAAGTTGATTAAGGATGCAGTGACTGGGAGTGATAGGCTTCAGCACCTTGACCTCTTTACCGTTTACGATACTCTCGTTCCCTCGGTAGTGTTTAGCTTCAAAACTCTTGTGGTTCTCAAGTTGCAGGACATAACATTGGAAGAAATTTTCTTTGTTGATTTGCCCTTGCTTAAGATATTGCATTTAAATCAGATTACTTCCCCAATAGAAATTGATCTTTCACAACTTCTTTCTGGGTGTCCTAATCTTGAGGACTTAAAAGTCAAGGGTTTCACTTATAAAACTGAAGGGAAGTTTAACAGATTGCCCAAGTTGGTTAGAGGGAGCATCGATAATCTCTTACTTCCATTGGAAATATTTAAGGATGTTGAAGTTTTGTTCTTGGAATGGGTAATGCCTGTGAGATTTGTTTGTTATTGCTTTCCATTTCAAAGGGGAAAAGGAGGGTTTTCTGATGTTTTGATATCATTTCGTTTTTCTTGCAGATATTTCAACCAAACCTGGACTTGGATTTTGACTTTCACTATTTAGTTCAACTTCAATTGAACTTGGGGCTGAGCGAAGATTGGCTTCTGGTCTTGAAAGTGCTCAATCATTGTCCCAAGCTTCAAAGTCTTGTCATTGACATTTATAAGGTTTAATGATTAAGTTTTTCAAATGTGGATTTTCTTGTTATATTTTCTTCAAGCATTAGTATTAATCCAATTTTTATGTTCCTTGTTATCAGTTCTTTGTATTAATGTCACCAGGCGATGAAGATGTTTGGCCATACCCACAAACTGTTCCTGCATGCATTTCATCACACCTTAAAACATGTTGTCTTAAATTTTACAGTGGTTCTAAAGATGAGCTTCAATTTGCAAGATATATATTGGAGAATGCAAAACATCTACAAACCATGAAAATCTCCACTATCTGGGGAAAAAATAATACGAAAGGTGAATTATCTTCCTGTACGAAGAGATCAGATACTTGTACCCTTTCATTTTCCATTTATTAGTTAAGGATTGTGTTTTTTTATTTGTCTTTCTGTTGGTAACTGCAAGTATTTGGACATGTTTGTGCAATTAGTCTACTTTTTTTCTCCTAATAAAAGTTTGCCACAATTTGTCGGATTTGTGCAGAATTGTTTATGAAAATTTGTTGCTATTTTTGGAATTCAAACTTTACGTTTGTAATATGTGATGATCTTTGTTAAATGCACACCTATTATTGTAAATTTGTAATTTCATAACTAACATTATTTATGATTTTTATCATTGAACAAAGTCGATGGAGTAAAAAGGAAACGATAAGGAATACTTATTTTCACATAGATGAATTTTTAGTAGCTATGTTTATGTTTGAAAAATTCTACCTTTACTTAAACATGCTAATACCACATAATATTTGAAATCATGCTTCTCTAAAAAAACAACCTCCAAATGACACAACAAGAATTTATATTTCAAATTTGAAAATATCAACAACCAAAAGAAGAAGAATTTAACTCATAATAATAAAAAGATATTTTTTAATTACAAATATCAACTATTGAATAAAACATTAATTAAAGTATGAGTATTATAAAATTATTTTCATGGGAGTAAAAATGATAAAGATGTCTTAAAAATAATGAGACGTATTAAACCTAAAAAAAACGTAGTAAAAACATTAAAAAAGTATGAAAGTAATAGTAGAAAAACAAAATAGCAAACTTTAAGGTATATACATCTTAGTGTCTGCTATGAGCGAGAGACACTAATACTGTTTCTTATTTCAACGTTAAAAATAACGTATATAAACATATTTTGTATATTTCGCCACGAAATCTGACACAAATATTGATATAATATAATATAATGATTAATGAAACTCAATTATCCTAAATTTTTACTACAAAATTTAATTAAATCTCTATAAAAATTTTATGATATAACTTTAAAAACCAAATAAACTTACTTTTCATTTCTTTTGTGGTGTTTTGGTGTCCACCTACAATTATAGTATATATGTTCAAATGATATTCATAAATAGAAAATCACGTAGATGTCTTTGTAAAAGATATTGTAGATTATGGTGAGTGCACATGTGAGATTTCAAAAATATGAGTAAAATATGTATATCAAAGATCTTATTATTTAAAGTAATATTTATATTTTTCTTAATTTCTTTTTGAAAATTTGATCATATATTATATTTATATTAATCATTTCAGAAGCTTGGTCCATCACCACCTGCAAATCAAAAGGAGAGAAATTCAACAGAAAATTGTGCCGCTAGTAGTCAGGGCAAAACCACCATCAACCTGCAAAGAGGGAACTATAATTGCAAAAAGCAAAAACAAAGACCCTAACCCGCGTGTTAGTCCATTCTAGAACCACTAACCTATCTTCATTCTTGCGCCTCACCACCAACAACAATAAAAAACTTGTAAATCATTCCCAAAATCACAGAAGATGCAGCGCCTTCATCTTCCATCAACCAATGCTTCTTTCTGCTTGCGTAAAATCCCAAATCAAACCTGAAAGAAGCATCAACATCCAACACGCCACCATGGGAGGAATTTCTAGCACCTTCATTCTTCTTCGCGTGCAGCACGACGCAAGCTACTTTGCCTTATCTGTTGAACCATAATTTGGGAGAAAGGGGCTGTCACATGGAAGAACTTACTTATACGTAATGAGACCATGTTGAAATTACGCATTCAATTAACTATATTAAAATAAATAACTAAATCCTAAAAATTAAAAACAGACTTTACTTTGACTCAATTAAATTAAAAATAAAACACTTCTAAAGCATTCTATTAACAAATCATTATTATAATAAATAATTATAAGTATATTAATAAATCATTATAAGTAAATTATTATAAATATATAATTGAAAAGTAAGTCATATTAATATGTAAATATTAATAAATGAATCATTTTAAATTTTCAAAATTTATAATTTATAATTTTTCAAAATACTGGTTGAACTTGGTTTAATGCACCAATTTTGAAGCATTTTTAATTGTTAATTATAAATAAAAAATATATATAGTTTTAAGTTAATGAGGGAAGTTTTACTATATTTGTTGTTTCTAGTAAATAAATTAAATTATACCAATATCTTTTATCTAGGTATTAAATTTGTTATTGTTCCTTACCCATTGTGCTTAAAATTTTATTAATTAAAAGTATGCATCTTTTTCAAGATTTCACTGTTTCCTATCATATAAAAGTATTGGAATTATATTATATAAAAGCTTTGTATCTTCCAAAAACAATTTTAAAATAGAGTATAGTGAAGCATTTTCTCAATAGTTCTGAAAAGAAAATAACTCCACATATAATGGAAAAGTAGTATGATGGTTTCATTCAATAAAATAGATATGTACGCGAATTCTTTTATTCACATTTAATTGTGCACTAGTATGGTTTCTAATTTTTTTAATTAGTTGAACAATAAATATATTTGTAATTACTTCTTATAAACATTATTATAAATTTATATATAATTTTTGTTTCCAAAAAAAAGTTTAACAATATGGAGAACTGCTTAGATTTCGTAGTTAACCTCATTGGTTCATATAGTATAAAGAAATTACCTTAGACATCGCTACTTAGTTGGTTGTAATACTGCCAAAGTAATAATTTTTTTTGTAAATAATTACTTCAAGACTATTGATATTACATACAAGTATGAAATTTGAATTCCTAAAACACAAAAATATTGCAAAGTGTTCCAGTTCTAAACAAAAGGAATAATGTGGCTCACGCGAGATGGGATAAGAGCTCCTCATGCGAGAGAAAAGAAATTGAAGGCCTAATGCGAGAGAAAGAAAAAAATAAAGTGGCTCGCACAGAGAGAAAAAGTATGCGAGAAATTTGTTTTTTTTTTATCAACAGATTTATCGAATTTTTTTCTTTAACAATTATCAACAGATTTTATTCATTGTTAATTATAGAGATATATCAAAAAAAGTTGTCTGTCGATTAAATTTTTTCGTCGATAGGTATAATTTGTATTACCAATGAATTTAGTGATTAACTTTTTCTGTCATTTATATATTTATCGGTAATTTAAATTTACTAACGAATTATTTCTATTGATAATATTTTGTCGATAGCGTCATGAATTTTTGTAGTTTGTTTCAGCATTTTGAGGATCAACACCATTCCATATGAAACGATAACTATTCAAGTTTAACCAATTTTTTTAAGTAAATATCTAACCTGCAAAAAGTCTTTCATCTTAAGTATGGATACTGACCCAAGTAAGCCTATAGATATTTGGTTGGATTGTTGTCTCATTGTATTTCTGAACGTTGATGAGTATTCCTCTTGGGGAAGGCCAACACGAGTCATTTTTATTATGAAACATGAAAGTTTTTTATGTGGAAAGTCTTGTATCAGGATCTTTGGGTATGTACCTGTGAAACCTAACGCTTTCTTACACTAGAGTTTTCCATTATTTTCATCCCCAAATAACATATCACTCCTTTTTAGGTCGTGATAAGTATTTTAAGCATGCTATATATTTGTACACCAAACAGAATAAATTTTTCTTTTTAGTTGTTTTTTTATCAACAATAACAAATATGAATTAAAATTCTTTGTAAAATATGAATTTCACTTTTTAGTTGAGGTATAATAAAAATCTTTGTAGCATTTGCCATTATATTCCCAAACATAATTCTACTTCTTTGACAACAAATAACCCACATCACTGCCATCACCGACTAGAAAAAAAAAATGCATTTATCTATGAGATTATTGATCCGTGAGAAATAGGTTTAAGAGAGTCATTTATACGAATATTTATCTCTAGGTAAAATTTTCACTTCTACTTATCTATAAATAATGGATAAACTTCAAACAACTCTAAAAAGAATAGTAACAAAGACTATAAAGAAGAAATGTGAAAATATGGTACAGGAGCTTTGAACTTGAGAGAACTAATATAAAAGAGAAGTTTTTTATTCAAATTAATTCCTTTTGAAAAATAGTACACCAACATATATTTGCATTTTAAATAGCTTTTGGATGGATTTTAAATTAGCCTTTGGATATATTGTTTTCTGTTTTTAATTCATTTAATTCTGAATTTAGTTTTGTTAACCCAATTCTATAAATTAAATAGTGGTTACTCTTATTTGAAATAAAAAAGATTGCTCTATGCCAGACTCTTAAAAATCCACTGAGAAATCCCATTTGAGTGGAAGCCAAGTATCAAGAAGAGAGTTTAGAATTTCACAGTGGAAAATAGGTGGCTGCAGGAGATTAGGAGATTGAATGTTCGGTTTTAACGGTAGAAGTAAAATTCTAAGTTTTCAAAAATTCATGCCACTTCTGCATACACCCTTCTTCCCCAAAGTTCTAAACTTTCATTTTCTCTCCCTTCTCTCTAAAATGTTCTTACTTCTCTCTAAGAAATCTTCATCTTTCCTTCCTCCAATCACCACTCAGGCACCATTTCTACTTTCCCGGCGTCGAGGGCGTCCGTTTGAACCGATCAATTTCGGATTCTGAACTAGTAAGCTCATCTCTCTCAGCCGAGTGGTTTTTCTGTACATGCAAACTCAGTTTTTGGTTGCATGAGTTTCTTAACCCCCTTTTTGAACACCTTTCTGGTCTTTCATTTGGTTAGTTTCGTAAATCACGATCGTAGTCTTCAAAGAAATTGGTGGTGAGCTATTCTGTACAAATTGTGAACGTTCGGTTACGCTTAGAGGTAAGAGAAGCTTATATAATTTGATTAAGATTTAGATTCTTGTTTTGAATGGATGCATGTTCGTTGATTGCTGAATGAATATGAAATATGGTTGTTACTGCATTGTTGGCTGTATGAGTATGTGAATCCAAAAGATGAGAAACTAGAATGATATTGTGTTCGATGATTTGGTTGATGATGAAATATTGTATGTTATTTAAAAGTATTGATGATTAGTGAAAGCCATGAAATGGGTAGG